TATTTCTTATTTTATACAGCTCATTCTTTATAAAAATGGTTGTAGTTATGTCCATAAAAGTGTAATCCGTGGCATCTGAAAGCAAACATTCTTTGTAATTATTTAAAATGGTCTTTTAAAAATTATAATACAACACAAAAATATGTGCTCTATGAGCAGTCCTCCACGGTGCATCGTAACAATATGGCTCACTTTTAATGCAAAGACTAAGAGGGAGTTATGAATCACTGGATTTAACAACCGTCATTTTAGAGTGGGTTTTACATCGCCTTTTGTTGGGCGGCCCACCCTCGACTGTATGTGCTCGGTAGCTTGGAGTTGTCCAGCAGGTTCTTCCATCTCCACTGTGGATCCCTTTCAGAGTCATCTGGACTCTCGGCAGCAAGTGAATCACCTTCGTCATCCATCATCATCATCTCCAGCCACACCACCTTTTCCATGGTCTTCTACCTCACTGCAGCCAAGTCTACAACATCTTTGATATCTTTCTGATGATTTTTTTTTTAATCCTCACTGGAGAGTATTTTTTCCATTGCTTTTCAGAAAGAGTGGAAGGGAGAGAAACATTCGTGTGACAGAGACACATCGACTGGTTGCCTCCTGCACGTGTCCCAAACCGGGGCTGGGGATCGAGCCTGCAGCCCAGGTATGTGCTGGGAATCGAACCTGGGACCCTTCAGTCTGTGGGTTCATACTCTAACCACTGAGTCAAACCGCCTAGGGCTGCTCTTCTTTCTTAAGATTGCTGAGGCTATTTGGGGTCTTTTATGGTTCCATATAAGTTTTTGGAATATTTGTTCTAGTTCTGTGAAATATGCTGTTGGTATTTTTATTTATTTATTTATTTATTTATTTATTTATTTATTTATTTATTAAAATATATTTTTATTGATTTCAGAGAGAGGAAGGGAGAGGGAGAGAGAGAGATAGAAACATCAATGATGAGAGAGTCATTGATCAGCTGCAGCCCGCAACCCGGGCATGTGCCCTGACCGGGAATCGAACCCTGATCGCCTGGATCCTAGGTCGATGCTCAACCGCTGAGCCACGCCCGACCGGGCTGCTGTTGGTATTTTAATAGGAATTACGTTGACTCTATAGATTGCTTTGGGTAGTATGGACATTTTAATGATGTTAATTCTTCCAGCCCATGAGCATGGCATATGCTTCCATTTATTCGGATCTTCGAGTGTTTTTTTCCAATGTCCTATAGTTTTCCAAGTACAGGTCTTTTACCTCCTTGGTTAAGTTTATCACTAGGTACCTTATTTTTTGTTGTTGTTGCAATGGTAAATGGGATTGTTTTCTTAGTTTCTCTTTTTGAGAGTTCATTAATGGTGTATAAAAATGCCACCAATTTCTGGATATTAATTTTGTATCCTGCTGCATTGCTGAATTCATTTATTAAATATGGTAGTTTTTTGGTGGAGTCTTTAGGGTTCTCCATGTAGAATATCATGTCATCTGCAAATAATGACAGTTTGCTTCCTCCTTTCCAATTTGGATGCCTTTTATGTTTTCTTCCTGTCTCATGGCTGTGGCGAGGGCTTCCAGCACTATGTTGAATAAGAGGGTGAAAGTGGACACCCCTGTCTTGTTCCTCTTCTTAGGGGAAACGGTTTTAGTTTTTGCCAATTGAGCATGATGTTGGCTGTAGGTTTGTCATGTGTGGCCTTTATTATGTTGAGGTATGATCCCTCTATTCCCACTTTGCTGAGAATTTTTATCAGAAATGGGTGCTGGATTTTGTTGAATGCTTTTTCTGCGTCTATTGATATGATCATGTGTTTTGTTCGTTTGTTTTAATCCTTACCTGAGGATATTTTTTCCATTGCTTTTCCGAGAGAGTGGAAGGGAGAGAGAGAAATATCGGTGTGAGAGAGACACATCGATTGGTCCCCTCCACCCCCCTCCTGCATGGCCCCGACTGGGGCCAGGGATTGAGCCTGCAACAGAGGCACCTGCCGGTGGCAGGAATCAAACCCAGGGCCCTGTAGTCCACGGGCCAATGCTCTAACCACTGAGTCAAACTGGCCAGGGCTGATCATGTGGCTTTTGTCCTTCATTGTGTTTACATGATGTACCACATTTATTGATTTGCGAATGTTGTACCAACCTGGCATTCCCGGAAGAAATCCCACTTGGTCATGTATTGCTTGGTCATGATCTTTTTAATGTATTGCTGGATGTGATTTGTTGAATATTTTATATTGTACTGTATGTATATTATACTTTTAAAAACTTAAATGGCTGTCTATTAAGTGAAGTAGGAATTCTTTGGTCTGGTCTGGTTTTGGAGAAACACATTTTCCTGGTCCTCTGATCTAGCTCCATGGAAGTGGAGTGCCTGGTACACAGCGGGCTCTGCTCAGCAGGTGCCTGTTGAATTATGAAGGTCAGCCACGAGTTATTCCATTTTATCTCCCTTCTCTCTCCTCCCTTCCCTGGTCACCTTCCCCACTCTGAAATATCTTTGCTCTCAACTCTGGAGAATTAAAACTGTTTCAGCTATTCTCCAGCGGGTTCTGTGGAAGCAATTATCTAAATTTTCTGAACTCTTATCTAACTCTTCCTTTGAGTCCTGACAATGAACCTATGAGTCTGATAAGAAACTGGGGCCCACCCCACCCCATCCCAGGTGGCCCGCGGTGGAGCTGGACCTGTGACGGGGGTTGGCTTCCCTCTGGGGCACGTGCCCCGCGCGGCTGGGTCACCCCGGGGGTGGGGGGTGGGGGGTGCAGGAGGCAGCCGTCAGTGACTCTCTCATCACTGATGTTTCCACGGCTCCCTCTCCCTTCCTCTCTGAAATCAATAAAGATATGTTTAAAAAAAAAAAGGAAACAAACGGGGGCCCATAGAAATTACCCAGGGCACACCTGTAATGCAGTGCGTGGGGCTAGAATGTAGGGTTCACTCTGGTACTTGAAACGCCCCGTCTGTATTGTTTTAACTCTGCCCCAACGGCCTGACCGCGAGGTCG